AGCCGCGCGTGCACCATCTTCCACCGCGCCGCCGTTATTTTGCCATTCTCTTCGCTCCGGTCAATGAGTGCCACGATTAAATGTCGTTTGGTCACCTCACTGACCTTCGCTTTTTGGGGACGTTTCGCTTGTTTGGGTGTGGGGGCTGCCACCTTGGGCCCGCGTTGCCGCTTGCTCACCGGAGTGTCGTTCTTGGCACTCTCGGTCGAGCGTTGCCTTTTGGTGGCGAGACTCTCCTCCACCTTGTTGGCAAATCCCTCCGTCGATGCCTTCATCTGCGGCATCTGCGAGAAGTGCAGCCGGCCCTCCTTTATCCGTTCTTCGGCCCAGGTCATTTTGGCCTTCTCATCCTCAGAGAGGTCCTTCCTGCCCTGGAGCCGTCCCACGATCTTGAGGGCCGCTTTGTAATGCGCCTTCGCCTTCAACCCCTCCTTGGAACGCTTCGGCCCTTCCCTACGCGGGGAGCTGGAACCTGGTTCCGGGGAGCGGAGAAGGCTGTCTTTCTCCGTCTTGGTTACAGAGAGTGAGTCGTTTTTGTGGCAGTAGCATTGCAACTGATATGACCTGCTCCCGTCATATCAGAGGTGTGGCCGCTGGCGACACGCAGAGAGGATTGCTCCTCCCCGTGCCCGCCGGTGGTAGCAGCCACGCTTTCCACCGACGTTTGGGTTGACATCCCAACCCTTGCTTCATCTTTCGTCCGCTCCATTGTTGGCCCAGAGGGTCCATGCTGGTTAATATTTTTCGGGGGGACCACCCCCCAGCGTTTTATGCCTACCCGCCAGGCACCTCCAGCCATGGCCATGGTTCAGTTCCCCCAAATTTTTGGTCGGGAAGACCTGGACCTGGCCTTGGCTAGACACTGCATTACCCCGGACAGAGCAAGCGGCAATGCATTACCCGATTCGGGATAATGCAGTGCCCATTGCCCAGCCGGCACCCTCTGGGAGGGTTCAGCTGGAGGATTTTTGCCGGCCATTTAGATTCTACATCTCCTCCGCTAGAGGTTGCTCGCGCACTGAACGCGGCAGAGTGTGCGAGCGAGAAGGAAAATGAGTTTCGTAGTCGTCGTCGGGAGGGGGGACAGGGGAAGCAACTGAAAATTAATTTCTTCATTCTGGCTATAAATATGATCCGATCTGATTCAGATTCGGCAGTCTGGTAGGTATGGGCATTCTCTACGATACTGCGTTTTTAGTTTTATCGTATCTTTAAAAATGTGCCTGCCACAGATTTTCGTCCTTTGTGGGGGCGGAAGGGGGCGGGGCGAAATTTTGAAATACACTTGTAGCAGTGTGATATCACATGAGTGTGGAAACCAAATTTGGTTGCCCTAGCTCTTATAGTCTCTGAGATCTAGGCGCTCAACAAGACGGACAGACAGACAGACGGACAGACGGACAGACAGACATGGCTCTATCGACTCGGCTATTGATGCTGATCAAGAATATATATACTTTATGGGGTCGGAAACGTTTCCTTCTCTGCGTTACACACATCCACTTTTACCACAAATCTAATATACCCCTTAACTCTTTTTTGAGTACGGGTGAAATATACAAAATATCCCAGCTACCACTCGGAATGGAATGGGAAACATTAAGACAAAAAATTAGAAACTTCAAGGTGGAATTTGATAAATCATATAAATGTCTAAATAAGACAAAGCGCATTAAGCGACAAACGCTAATTAAGCATACTGAGATCGTTGTTCACAATTACAACGAAATCAAATGCTTAATAAAAGCAGCCCACCATAACCTTTCTGAACTCCATAACGGCCAGGTCACAGATGTTCTCAGACGGCTAACAGAGTGCCTTGAGAACATTAACAAAAGACACCATTTGCATTTAGTGATACCAATCGCGCTAAATAACCCAGCAGTTTTCACACGAGAACTGCTGCAAAATAGTTCAGATAGCGACGATAGTTCAGAAGGTGAAAAACCTTCAGGTTCAAATATGCCTCAAACAATAATAGAATTTCTTAATACAGCCAGCAAACTCATCCCAGAGTTTGACGGTAGGGCAGAAAACCTACAAAGTTTTCTGGATGCCTTATCTTTGGTTAACACCATCAAAGGTGAACATGACGCCACAGCAGTGTCATTGGTAAAAACCAAACTAAAAGGTGCTGTTAGGAATTTAATTAGTACAGAATGCACACTTGTATCCATTATAAATAGACTTAAAACAAACGTAAAAGGCGAATCAATAGATTCAATAACTGCCAAAATAATGAACATCCGTCAGATGAGTAAGACCGCTAACCAGTACACAAAAGAAATTGAGCAATTAACAAAAACTCTGGAATGCGCTTTTATTTCATGACACATGAGCAGGCAGAAAAATATAGTACCCAGCAGGCGGTCAAGGCAATGATTCAAAACTGCACCAATGATAAGGTCAAACTTATCATGCAGGCTGGAACTTTCTCGACCATGAGCGAAGCGGTAGCAAAATTCGTTACCAGTTGCACCGAAGCAACTGGACGAGCAGATACCGTGATCTACTATTCAAATAGGGGGTATCGTGGAAACAGAGGCCGTTTCCAGGGTACCCCGAGGTCGTGGTAATAACCAGTTCCGCGGAAACTACAACGGTCGGTACAATAACGGTGGCTATTACCGAAACGGAAATAATCAACAAAATAATAGACGAGGAGGCCACCAAAATGTCCGCGTTGTAGATAGTACAGAAAATGCGGAAAACGCATAAACTCCCCCACAAAAATAAATAGCGCTAAAAAATCCATATTCGTGTTCAATTTACATTTCAATAGTTTTATATCAACAAAAACTTCACTAAACAATGCGGTATCAACGTTTTTGGTAGACACAGGGGCTGATATTTCAATTTTCAAAATTGGCGAAATTACAAATAATATACAAATAAATAATTCAATTACAATGAACCTCAATGGTATAGGGAAAGGAACAATTAATACGCTAGGAATAGTGGAGGCGGACTTGATATGCGGCAATATTTTAATAAAACATACTTTTCATCTTGTCAAAGATGACTTTCCAATCAATTGTACTGGATTGGTTTAGACTTCATTAAAAAATATAATTGCATTCTAGATTACCAAGATAATCAAGATTGGTTAACTTTGAGACCACACGACTTTCACGAAGACATAGCCATTCCTATGCGAAATTCACAAAATATAAATACAATAACAATTCCAGCTAGGTCCGAAGTTGACCGTTTAATGAAAATATGCTCAGAACACAAAGAAGTTCTCATACCGAACCAGGAAATTCACAAAGGCATCATTGCAAATACAATTACCACAAGCAAACAAGCTTTTGTCCGAATCATCAATACAACTGATAATAATTGCACAGTATCCGATGCAAATATTCAAACGGAAAACCTTGAGGATTATGAACTAATTAACAATAAAAACATAAAAATAAACAAAAATAAAGAAATTATGAAAAAACTTAATACGAATTTTCCGAAATTTATAAAAAAGGAAATGAATACCCTCTGTTCTGAATACGTTGATATATTTGCATTGGAGAGTGAACCAATAACAGTAAACAACTTTTACAAACAGGAATTAAAACTATTAAACGATGAGCCGATGACCCCATAGCCAAAAAGACGAAATAAATATTCAAATAAAGAAACTTATAAAAGATGACATAATAGAGCCCTCAGTATCAGCATACAACAGCCCATTGCTATTAGTACCAAAAAAATCTCTACCAGGAAAAACTCAAAAACGATGGAGAATGGTAGTTGATTATAGGGGGCATAAATAAAAAACTAATAGCCGATAAGTTCCCACTGCCCAGAATAGATGATATTTTGGACCAGTTGGGAAGATCAAAATATTTCTCCTGTTTAGATTTAACATCTGGTTTCCACCAAATTGAACTAGAGAAAAAGTCAAGAAATGTCACATCTTTTACGGCAGATAACGGAACATATAGATTCAAAAGATTGCCTTACGGCCTCAAAATAGCCCCAAACTCATTCCAAAGAATGATGACCATGGCATTTGCAGGATTATCACCTGCACAGGCATTCCTATACATGGACGACTTGGTCGTATTAGGCTGTTCCGAAGAACACATGTTAAAAAACCTTAGAGATGTGTTCACTATCTGCAGAAAATACAATCTAAAGTTGCACCCAGACAAATGTTTATTTTTCAGTCACGAAGTAACATACTTAGGCCATAAATGCACAGACAAAGGAATATTGCCAGACGACACTAAGTTCACATTAATTCAAAACTACCCAACACCAACATCAGCAGACGAAACAAAAAGGTTTGTTGCATGCCGCCAAAAAAGAGTGGAAAAAGAAACAAAAAGCCTGGAATCGAAAAAAAAATTCAAAAAGAAAAACAAATAACTTTAGACTTTGGCAAACGAATGAATTTCTTGGCTCTTGATTCCCAAAGAAAAAAGGCAGTAATAGCAGAAACTTGATCTTGAAGGACGTTTTAGTAGTTAGACGGAAGAATGATAGATAAATAGAGATACAGATAAGGACAGATAAAGAGTTTGACAGAGAGAGAACTTATTTTACGTTTTTAAATTAATTTTAAAATCTTCAATCACAAAATATGGCAATAAATTCACGCCTGCAGCCTGCTAAGCCACATTGGAAAAGAGAGCATAATAATAATAGTCCAAACCATCAATAATGAAACAAACCCTTCAAAGCCAATCCCATTGTAGATTTTCCCTTGGATAAGGCACAGCAGGCACTCACTTTGCTCTCTCCTCCCAAAAAGTATACTTTGTACAATAAATTCTATTGCTATTAAAACTGCTTTCAACCATGTACTACATGGATAATTTGCCCACTTACAAGCTGGTCGTTGTGGGCATTGTAATCATTGCAAATCGACTCCTCACAGGCCGTTTCAATGCGAATTCCTACTATTGGCCGACAATAATGCACACTGAACAGGATCTCGTGTTCGCTTCAATGTTTTTGACACCACCGGTGAGCACAAGCATCCCGTACTGGGCCGCATGTACCATAGAGGCAGTGACTGTGCCATCATTATGTGCGATCTGACCGACGAGGAGACCTGTGACAATGTGGTCCTGTGGAACACCCAACTGTGGAACGATTGCGGCCGCATTCCCACTGTCATTTGTGGCAACAAGGCGGGCGACCCCAACCGCACCGTTTTCAAATTTGATCCAACAATCCGCAAGTCGAATATGCAGTACTTTGACATCTCGGTTAGCAGCAACTACTGCTGCTCGGAGCCCTTCATTCATCTTTACTATCAGCTGATGGGCGAGCGTTTCCATTTTGTTACTTTGTTGCCGCCAAACGGGCTTGCAGCCATTCAGGAGGCGGACGAGCCCCAACAGAAAGACGATCGCGATTGCGATTGCGATAACGAGACGCATAAGAAAGAAAAAGATGATCTTGACAAGAAGAATGCTATCATAGAGAAAGTTAAGAAGTTTCTTAAGGAGAAGAACTGCGCCCTCGGGATGGACAAAGCCCACTGCGAGGAGGACAACGAGACACTGAAGAAAGACAGCGACGATCTTGAGGAGCAGATCGTAAACAATGAATAAGTTTCAATTTGATTTTTTTCCCAAAATTGTTTTAGTTTCTGTGCAAAAAGAAAAAGTTTATTGACTACTTTTGTTGTTGTTTCGAGACCACTAGAATTCGGTGTGATATGAGAAGTTTTCATACTCCAATGCTCTCTCTTGCGGTGTAGCTGGCAGGTGCATATATAGTTATGTCTTATTCTGTCAATTTGTGGGGTTGCCCTTTGGCCCCAGCGGCTGCTAACTATTATTGTGTGTATGAGCCCATATACAGTGGAACACCTGAAGTTGTAGGCATAGAGTCAAAAACCTTGCACTTTAGACCCCTCGCCCATTCCGCCTTCATGGAATCGGTTTGGCAGTCATTGATCTATTGTCAGTCGCGTCGCAGTGGGGCAGCAAAGTGAACAGCAAAGGTATATCACGAAGAGCGGTAAGCTGCCAAATGAGTTGCGGCCACTTGCTAAGGAATTGCCTTACCTTATATTAAAATGTACCTTGTTGACAGCGACGACTGCATTAGGCATCAGAGGCTATGACCAAAGACAATATAAGAATAAGATACATACCGCCACACGAATTTTGCAGGCTGGCTTTAGAGCTGGCTCCAGGCTCTCTTGAGCCTCTCTTTTTTTAGAGAGAGAGAGCGCTCTAGAGCCAGCCGCTCTCTTGTATGCATACAGCATACGAAGGCACACGAAGTTGGTTCTTTGCCGCTGCGACAGCCGAGCCGCGTCGTCGCGACGACTGTATGTGTGCTCATGCATAAGTGGCAGGGGAAGCAACTGAAAATTCATTTCTTCATTCTGGCTATAATTATGATTCGATCTGATTCAGATTCAGCAGTCTGGTAGATATTCTCTACGATACTGCGTTTTTAGTTTTATCGTATCTTTAAAACTGTGCCTGCCACAGATTTTCGTCCTTTGCGGGGGCGGAAGGGGGCGGGGCGAAATTTTGAAATGCACTTTTAGCAGTGGGATATCACATGAGTCTGGAAACCAAATTTGGTTGCCTTGGCTCTTATAGTCTCTGAGATCTAGGCGCTCAACAAGACAGACAGAGGGACAGACAGACATGGCTATATCGACTCGGCTATTGATGCTGATCAAGAATATATATTCTTTATGGGGTCGGAAACGTTTCCTTCTCTGCGTTACACACATCCACTTTTACCACAAATCTAATATACCCCTTAACTCTTTTTTGAGTACGGGTATAAAAAACTACGCGTGCGCGATCCACATTTCGTACAAGTTTGTACAAACAATTAATTAGTGAGTGAGTAAGTGAAATTGAGTTGAGTGCCAGTGATACAACAACAACAACTACTACAACAACAACATCAACAACAACGTCAACAACATCATCCTCATACTCATCATCTTCAAGAAGATCATCAAAAAAACATCAATATGAATCGCACCCAGATCTATCAACATCTCAGATCCGAATAACACAAAATTAAGGTTATTGAGCCGGTTGATGATCGAATCAAGCGAGTATCGGCCGGATTCGGTGGACGAATCATACATTATGTGTATGAAAATCGGGATGACGGAATAAAAATGCCAGTAGACTTCTGTAAGGAACCTATTTCAGGCTGGGGTAAACTCAGTCTGTCTAGGGTCGGCTACAAGAAATTTGTAGTTGTTGTGGGGACTTTAGGCGAGGGACGCGACCCGGCGAGGCAGTGCCGCAGCCGCGCGGTGCTTGAGGTGAGTCACCAATGTCTGTCCGGTGCCCCAGGATGGATCCTGGTGGAAGTTCTCATACCGAACCAGGAAATTCACAAAGGCATCATTGCAAATACAATTACCACAAGCAAACAAGCTTTTGTCCGAATCATCAATACAACTGATAATAATTGCACAGTATCCGATGCAAATATTCAAACGGAAAACCTTGAGGATTATGAACTAATTAACAATAAAAACATAAAAATAAACAAAAATAAAGAAATTATGAAAAAACTTAATACGAATTTTCCGAAATTTATAAAAAAGGAAATGAATACCCTCTGTTCTGAATACGTTGATATATTTGCATTGGAGAGTGAACCAATAACAGTAAACTACTTTTACAAACAGGAATTAAAACTATTAAACGATGAGCCGGTTTACATAAAAAACTATAGAATACCCCATAGCCAAAAAGACGAAATAAATATTCAAATAAAGAAACTTATAAAAGATGACATAATAGAGCCCTCAGTATCAGCATACAACAGCCCATTGCTATTAGTACCAAAAAAATCTCTACCAGGAAAAACTCAAAAACGATGGAGAATGGTAGTTGATTATAGGGGCATAAATAAAAAACTAATAGCCGATAAGTTCCCACTGCCCAGAATAGATGATATTTTGGACCAGTTGGGAAGATCAAAATATTTCTCCTGTTTAGATTTAACATCTGGTTTCCACCAAATTGAACTAGAGAAAAAGTCAAGAAATGTCACATCTTTTACGGCAGATAACGGAACATATAGATTCAAAAGATTGCCTTACGGCCTCAAAATAGCACCAAACTCATTCCAGAGAATGATTTTGAGGTGAGTCACCAATGTCTGTCCGGTGCCCCAGGATGGATCCTGGTGGATCGGTGCTTTGGACGGTGGCTTATCCCGCTACCTGGAGCGTGCGCTTGAGGATACGGAACAGGGGTGGCTAGGAGACTGGATGAGTAGGGCAACGCGTCGTCGCGAAGCCACCGGAGACTCGAGAGGATCAGGGGGGAGGCGAGGCAGAGCAGTGCGTTGTCGCAAAGGCTCAGAAGGATCAGGAAAAGGCGAAGCAGAGCAGTGCGTTGTCGCAAAGGCTCAGAAGGATCAGGAAAAGGCGAGGCAGAGCAGTGCGTTGTCGCAAAGGCTCAGCAGGATCAGGAAAAGGCGAGGCAGAGCAGTGCGTTGTCGCAAAGGCTCAGAAGGATCAGGAAAAGGCGAAGCAGAGCAGTGCGTTGTCGCAAAGGCTCAGAAGGATCAGGAAAAGGTGAGGCAGAGCAGTGCGTTGTCGCAAAGGCTCAGCAGGATCAGGAAAAGGCGAGGCAGAGCAGTGCGTTGTCGCAAAGGCTCAGAAGGATCAGGAAAAGGCGAAGTAGAGCAGTGCGTTGTCGCGAAGGCTCAGAAGGATCAGGAAAAGGCGAGGCAGAGCAGTGCGTTGTCGCAAAGGCTCAGCAGGATCAGGAAAAGGCGAGGCAGGGTAGTGCGTTGTCGCAATGGCTCAGAAGGATCAGGAAAAGCCGAAGCAGAGCAGTTAAATCTTGAATAAAATGACTCGAGAGGAGTGGGCGTTAATTACAAAGCAATGTGTTTATTCGAGTTATATTCGTTAATGTAGGCCCTGGCTGCACCATGTGGTTGTTACTTAAAACGAAGCGGGCTGAATTAGGTGTGCGCGTAGCCATGGGCACGTTCTGCGTTCGCGGCGTATTTGTGTGTGTGCCTGTTGCTGCAGACAGATACGCGTGTTTTTAATAGTGAGTTAGGTGTGGCGAGGTTATGTCGGCGTGTCCCGGAGCGTAGCTAGGAGTTTGTCGCTTAGAAAAATGTGCTTCCGCGTGGCTTCGAGGTTCGTCGCTCAGTGATCGGCTGCACAAATCTCTGCCTGCATCGAGCCCTGTTGTTTCCTCTTCTTTCTTTTCGATAGCTTCTCCTGTTCTTTCCATCGATAGTTGTAGGGGTTGCCACCTCGTCCACCATCGGTAATATTTTGGTATTAAAATAGTCTAACGCCTTCAGTGGCGTTACGTGGATACGACGGATAGGTAGTACGCCGTGAGAACAGCGGTGGTGTGGCTGGGCGACCTATGGGTGGATCGTCTGTAGACATCGGGGCTGACGTCAAGTCAACCCAAGCGGTCGGGTCACCCGCTGTTCGTCGTGGTGGTGGTGTGGCACGATAGGTCCGAAAGTGCGCTGACGTTGGGATGTCGTTCTCGGTGGAATACTCATCGGGGGACTCCATTTCGTGGTCGTCGTCTGCGAGTTCAGTATCCCGGTCGTCATCGTCAAGTTCCATGTCTCTTGGTGGAGTCTCGGAGGAGTTTTCCTCGTCCAAATCCATGTCGGCGGCTGCGGGAACTTAGTTCTGTATTAGGGAAATAGATGGATTAACTGATCCTGTCCTACTTAATATTATGGATTTCTGTGGTGCAGTTTTACAATTTTCTCCTAACATGCTTACTAACTTACTAACGAGTGGTCACAATAGAGATACAGAGTAGGGATAATAAAAGATTATTCGGCTTACTACTCTAGTAGGGTCTGGTCGTGGCCGTTCGGGCTGGTCTGGTCTGTGATGTCCTCGTTGTCGTGGTACTGCCTGAGGTCCGCTATGTTCGCTACTCTTTATTTCCGGTTGCTCTGGTGTTGGAGTCGGACGACATTTGGTGAGATGAAGCACTTCAGTCTGTACGGGCCGTCAAATTTAGGAGCCAGCTTTGCAGCGAATCCGTCGGCTGCGTTGGAGAGGTGATGTTGACGCACGAGGACCAAAGATCCTATTGTCTTCTACGTAGGTTATAGTAGCGTCCTTGTTCCGGCTCGCATGTTGGATATTGTAACGGACGATGGCAAATACTTCCTTGAGCCTGGTTGCTTTGGATAGAGCTGATTCCGGGGGGCTTCCAGTTCCAGGCGTGACTTCGTCGTACAAAGCGCCGGGCAAACGGGGTTCTCTACCATGTAGCAAGAAAGCTGGGCTGAAGCCGGTCGTGTCTGAGATACTGGAGTTGATGGCTAATGACATCTCGGTTAGTAGTGCGTCCCAGGTGCTTTGATGTTCCTCTACAAACTGAGCTATCATCGTTTTCACAGTCCTATTTGCCCTTTCTGTGGGGTTTTCTTGAGGACAGTAGGGTGCGGTATGTTGGAGCGCTACTCCTGCCGACTTGAGAAAGATCGGCTGGTAAACTGGGTCCCATTATCGCATACGAACACCTTCGGTACTCCAAAATGACTGAGGATTCGTTCCCGAAAGGCTCGTTCAAGGTTTGCTGCCGTTGCTTTCTTGAGTGGGACTAAT